CTTCAGTTTCCAGCAGGACTGTGCACCTGCCCACACTGCCAAAAATTTTCTGAGATTGTGGATGTGGGGTTCTTGGGGTTTTCATGAGCTGTAAGCCATAATCATCACAATTATGACAAATCACGGCTTGAACTATCTTGCTTTGCATGTAATGAGTCTATCTCATATATTAGTTTCACCTTTTAAGTTGCATTAGTGAAATAAATGAACTTTGCACAATATTCTAATTTTTCGAGTTTCACCTGTATTATTGTGCTTTGCAGGGGGGGTTGCAGTCTCCACCATAAATTCTATCTACATATGCCACTACTATATCCCTTTTGCATCAAATTATAATTTCAAGGTGTCCAAAGGCAGCCTGCGCCTAAACAAATCTATTATTATAAAGGATTTATATAGCGCCAACAGTTTGCGCAGCGCTTTACAATATAGGGAAGACATTACAATCACAATACAATTCAAGACAAGATGGTAAGGAGGGCCCTGCCCGTGAGGGCTTACAATCTAAAAGGGGAGGGGGAAGTGATACATGAGGAGGGAGCTGTGAGGGGATGAATTGTTTGAGAATGTGATGCTTCAGTGGTTAGGTTGAGGTGGGATAGGCTTCCCTGAAAAGATGAGTCTTTAGGGAATGCCTAAAGGCAGTCAAGGTGGGCGACAGAGACGGACAGGTTGGGGTAAAGAATTCCAGAGGATGGGAGAGACCATAGAGAAATCCTGGAGGCGAGCATGGGAGGAGTTGACAAGGGAGCTGGAGAGCAGGAGGTCTTGGGATGAGCGGAGCCGACGGTTACGGTGATACTTTGAGACCAGGTTTGAGATATAGCTGGGGGCGGAGTTGTGGATGGCTTTGTAAGCGATTGTTATTATGAATTTTATGCTTTGGGCGAGTGGAAGTCAGTGCAGGGATTGGCAGAGGGGGGATGCAGACACTGAGCGGTTGGTTAGGTGGATGAGTCTAGCAGCTGCATTCATGATAGACTGAAGGGGGGATAGCCTGTGTAGTGGAAGGCCAGTGAGGAGGGAGTTGCAATAGTCAAGACGAGCGATAACAAGGTGAGTGGATGAGTAATTTTGCGGTTTCATTGGTGAGGAAGGGGCGTATTTTGGAGATGTTACGAAGGTGAAGGCGGCAGGATTTGGATAGTGATTGGATGTGGGGAAGAAAGGTGAGGTCCGAGTCAAGGATGATACCTAGGACCTTGGCATGGGGGTAGGGATGGATGGTTGTGTTATCAGTCTCAAGGGGAAAGTTGGGGGAAGGTGCACGGGCAGGAGGAAATATCAAGAGCTCAGTTTTTGAAAGATTGAGTTTTAAGAAGTGACATCCAGATTGATATGTCAGTTAGTAGATTAGTGACACGAGAGGACACAGAGGGGAGGGACACAGAGAATCTAACCACAAAACAGGATACAAATGACCCCCTAAACAGTGATGTGGCTGTCTATAGGACTTCTGAAAAGAGGATCTGTAACATGCAACGACGTATAAGAAAACTCTAAATTTTAATGAAACACATATAAAAACACTTAGATTCATGAGTCTACATTTTATTGACACACATGTAAAAAAAAACAAAGTTTTTTTATACAGTTTCATGTCACAGATCCTCTTTTCAGAAGTCCTACAGACAGCCACATCACCGTTTAGGGGTACCATTTGTTCTAAGGGCTTGTTCACACCAAGTGTGGTGCGTTCCAGAGCGGTGTTGCGATCAGACACTGATGCACCATGACCTCAGAGCTCAGCTTGCATCTCTTTGGATGTTTCCCTTGGCTCTTTGTCTACTATTCACACTATCTTTTTCAAGCGGAGGTCGATTTTTGTCATATGGCCAAAGTGGCTACCGCTCCATCGGTCTAAAACATCCCAATATTTTCAACTTTAACATCAGGCTGATTGGAGTTGGTCTTTAGCTTTCACATGCTGGTCTCTAAGTTTCTTCCTGATCTCCTCAGAGAACTGTCTGCTTAGCTTTCATTGCTCCATGTTCAGTGTGGTGCACACAATACCACCAAGCAGTAAATTGAATACTTTTCTCCATTCACCTAAGTTGACTTTCTGATTACAAGACTGAAGACGTGTGATCAAGATTATATAAAAAGAGTTAAAAATATTACTATGATCTATTTAAAATCTTTTCTAAGGGTACCAACAAATCTGTCCAGGCCATTTTAGAATCTCTGCACAATAAGCAATAATGTATCTTTCACACTTCCTTTGCTTTAAAAAGAGAACTATGAGGTGAGTGAAAATCACTCACCTCATAGTTCGAGCCGACGTGTGACAATGAAACTGTCACAGGTCGGCTCAGTAGATCGGGAAGTGAGCGAACACATACCGTCGCTCGCTCACTTCTCGATCCTGTCCCTGCAGAGAGCCGTGACTTACTCCCTGCAGGGATTCCCCCCCTCTGATCCTCAAGCGCTGACTGGTGGAACAGACGGGGCGGGTACAGCTGGCACTGCTGTCAATCACGCAGCTGGGTGGATCTCGACAGTAATGTCGGGATCCGTCCTGGCTGCGGCGCTCTCAGTATACCGCGAGCTGCAGCTCGCGGTATACTGAGCTTTGGATCAAGGAAGGATGCTAGTTTGTGTCCTCCCGTGACCCTTAGGAGAACAATGGGGAAAAACACTTACCCCATAGTTCTCCTTTAATCTATGATAAATAAAAAAGGTACCAACAAATTTGTCCACGCTTTTATATAAAATATTTGGTACTTCTATAAAACCAGAAGATGCTCACTCTTCTGTTATACTCTGCACTAAAGGCGTAGAGAATAAACCTTGTAAAGCAGGTCCTGGTGAAAAAAAAAGAAAGACCAGTCAGTCTAATAGGAAGGCACTAAGCATTTAGACACAAGAACTCCATATCTGGAGAGAATGCCAGGATAGACAACTACCTTGCTAAAAGTGGCTTACCAGAGAAGAACCCTAATTTGGTCAAAAACAACAACCTAAGAATGGTGTGAAGTGACAAAGTCATGAGAATGGAAGGTGAAACTCTTTTCAGCAGCCAGCTGAGAAGGCTGAATGATCCTACCAGGAGCTACCTAGTCCTCAGAGGCAGAAACCTAGACCTGCTCTGGAACTAAATCTGAGAGGAAAGGGCCTCTGCTCCCAGTAGGCAGCAGGGGTTACCGCTCCCTCCAAGTTCCCCAAGGGCTGACTGAATCTACAGCGCTGGGAAAGGGTAGACATTGTTGGTTCTGGCTCTTAGCCACGTGCAGGGGGGCAGAGTCAGCTGTCAATTAGGTTGCAGAGGTGGATCCCAACAAAATAGTTAGGATCATTCTCTACCACAGCACTGCTCTGCCCTGTCAGCCAATAGCGAGCATTAGCTTATCAGCTGACTTTGGGTCACAGGAGGAAATGTACTCCTGTGACCCAAAGGACAACTAAAGCATGAAAGAAAAAAAAAAGGATAGTCTTTCCTTCTTTAATCTTTTGAGGTAACAGCTGAAGCAGGGCAAGGGGCAGAACCTGCCATAGAAAACTAGAATTTAAGGAAGATTTTCGCATAGAGGAATACCTTAAATAGCAGGTGTAATGGAAAGGTCTTTGCAGCTGTAGGAGCTCTGAACCTGAGGCTGGGAAAATAAGGCTCCAAATGCCAGGTAGGACGTACTGCATCAAAAATAGAGACAGAACAGTCCTTTGTAGGTCATGACAAGAAAAAGTCTATTGCAGCCGGGCCTGTTCGAAGGCCTCAGGAAGATCAGAGATCGTCTCTGCAGGGGATGGAGCAGCACCATGCTTAGAGCCTTTGGTAGCCACAAGAAATTGGGTGAATTTTGCCACAAGATTTTTTTCTTCAGAGACACGACAAGCACTGAGGTAAGGACAATGGGCCTGGAAAGTGTGCCGCAGCTAACTTATACGAGTACAGGTGGAGCCAAGTGCACAAAGGTCACTTCCAGGCTAGCCACACGTCGTCAGATCAGCTGGGTCAGGGTATGGCACTTCAAATTTCAGCTGAGGAAAGGCCAATCCGGACAACTGCCATGTGGAGACCAGCTCAAGCAGCAATGTAGCAAGGAATCTAGATTAAAGTCAAACGAAGGAGGAAAATGAAAAGGAAAAGGAAAAGGAAGGGGGGAAACAAACACAAGGCTAGCAAAAATGGAGTAGACTTTTCTCAACAGAAATGAATAAGACACAGCCATTCCCTAAGACACTAGCAAAAACTAAGGCATGCTGGGTAGTGGAGGCGTATCCTTGGCTAGTCTACAAATTTTTTTTTGTTTGCTTGCTAGTGTCCAATCCTCTTGTGGGTGGCAGTATCACCCAACAGTATATGACCAGTATGTGGCCCCTAAAAAATATATGAAAAACATTTATACACTAGCTTTGCACACCGCAACCTTTCTGTTTTCACAAAAGCCTATACTTCATAAAGCAAGATTGTTCATTAGACTCCAAGTCTGGCCCCCCATAAAGCACACAGGAAAATATATGAAACTCAAGTACAAGTGTGGTGTAAGCAGAGCCAGTACACACCTCCTCGACATTTAGATTTTCTTTGGCGCTAGTCTCAAACAGTTGTATGTCCATCTGTGCAGCAAATTTATGGGCGTCTTCAGTCTCCACGACTTTCCGCTCAGGATCATCGTTCTTATTTCCCACTGCTCGTAGAAAAACAATTTACTTTAGGAAACAATTGGAACTGACATGCACTTTGTAATAACGTCACAGAGAATACGTACCTAATATCCGACACACATCGTCACAATTCTGATTTATTTCATGTAACCATCTTTTTACATTGACAAAGGACTCTGCGCTGGTAACGTCATAAACAACAATAACACCGTGTGTCCCTCTGTAATATCTGCACGAAAAATA